TGAGACGATGAACACACTGATTATGCTCTTGAAATAATGTAAACCCTGGAGAGGCAAAGGTATAGACACTTGGCTGGCACCCTTCCTACCAGTGTGCTCCTCCCCTTGCATGGACCCATCTCTCTGTTTCTTTATTATTATTTTTTCTCCATGAGATCAGGAGTCCTTAATCACATGGGCCATTCTGCTCAGTTGAGTCCACATCTACATGTCAACAGCAGTGAGAATTAGGTGATCATGAAGAGATTCATCTTCTCTGGCAGGTCCCCGAAAGACCAGGTCACTGTGACAAAAGCAGAGTCACTAGAGATGCTGGGAATAGCTGCCTTGGCTACCTTGCATGGGCAAAGGCTCCAGCAAAGCAGAGAAAATCTGCCTTGGTCTAAGTCTCACTTCAGGCGTTGGGTACCTTCCTGAATCTTGGGTTCAGTTCCAGCCATCAAGGCTCTTAGTGGGTGGAGCTTCTGCTCCCTGAACCCCACCCTTGGAGTGAGGCATCCTCGAAGGAGGTCCTGGAACCTTCTCTAACCTTGGCTGTAGGACACGACTCCTGATTCTTAAAGTCCACGGTGGGCTTGGCTGATGTCTGAGACCCTGAGGAGATGCCCACCCCTCCTTCCCCACAGAAAAGTAGAGAGACCTGAAGCTCAGGGCTCACTGAGGCACAATGTGCAGGGGGCCTGTCTGCCCTAGGCTTCTGGTAAACCTCCTGCCTTCACCCTTTTGGGGACAGGCATTTTTTTCTGCAAGTATTTCTCATAAAGTTAGTGCCAGCCAGGTTAGTCTCCTTCTTACCGTCCACCAGGTTTCCCCTCCTGCTCCCCTCCTCCCTGCTAGCCTCCTCTCCCCTCCTGGCCTCTCCTCTCTTTCTTCCCCCCTTCTCCCCTCTCCTCCTCTCCTATTCCTCCTCCCCCATTGCCCCCCCCTCCTCCCTTCAGGACCCCATTGTTCCTGTGCCTTTCCAACAGGGCCCGAGACTGGCCTCAAATTGAAAGGCCCTTGCTCTTCCTTCCCTGGGCTTTGCTGCCTTCCCGTGATGTGACCCTGGCTTACCCAGGCTTTCTGCCTTCTTCAACTCTGTGACGCCAGTGGGAACAAATGCTGTGGCCACCATCACCTTAAGGGGGGTGACAGGGTGAAAGGGAAAGCGGCTCACCCCCCCACAAAGGGCTTCCGTAGAGCTGCAGGAAGGAGAAGGCATCTTTCTGGAATGCTAGTAGAGAAGTCAGCACTGGGCTGGGAGGGGGAGGGAGGGAAAGTGGGGAATGCCTCTGCTTCCATTGTACCAGCCCCTGCAGCCTGGGCACCCGCACCCCACTAGAGAGGCCGCCCCCAGCACCCAGGCACAGAGGACACCGGATGGTCAGCTAGTGGTCTGTAGGAGGGGCCAGGCCCAGTTTCCCTTAACCTGTTATTACAGAAGATTGTCGCCCATTCCAACAGGTGACCCTTGGGAAGGAAAGGAGCACTGAGAGAGAGAGCTTGCTGCCTCTCTCCCTGTTACTCTCTTTATTGGGGGTGGGGAGAGATGGAGACAGAGAATGGGGGGGAGAGAGACAGGGGTGGCAGGAAGAGAGACAGAGGGAGAGAGACACCAACCAGGCAGTTTGCAGCGGGCGGGCGGGCATGCCCAGGGTAAAGTAGGTGGCATCAACCGCGGGCACAGTCTCAGCGGACAACCACTTTAAATCTTAATTGGTTGCCTTTTAAATA